GGTGGGATTGCTTGGGACAGGATGAGGGCGCATTGAATGCAATTTATTTATTGTAACACGGCGATTCGCGCAGCGAAACAACTTTGCTCTGGCGCCGTGTACTGATATTTGCTGTTTTGTGAAGCGCTTGTTGAATTGCACTCAAACCTGACGTTATCGTCTGCCCTGTCAATACATCAAGGGCTTCGTTGAGAGCCAGATGTTCCACCGTGAGAAACGCGGCTGTGATGATTGCCACTGGAATGCATCTGCCGTCATTCAGGGTCCTTCTAGACCCAGGGTCCGCCGATCGCTACGACAGTGCCATGTTGAGTCAGAAACTCTAAGAGCAAACCCGGCTAGGCAACATGGGAGAAGGAGGGGGCGTCAAAGTAAGGCCAGGACACACACCTGCAATGTGTCAACGGCCGACGGGCGCATTGTGTCTACAGTAGCTCCCGCCACCATGAGGTCTGGAAACCAGACCAACCTCATCCGTCACCTCTGGGCTGGGCGAGACCACAAAGGATACGCCAACACCGGCAGCGCCTCTGTCAGCCAACAGATTCAAGGACTGGCTTCATAGATGAGCGGCGGCAAGCTGCCCCGTACGACAAGAGGGAGGAAAAATGCATGGCACACTAAGTCGAGAGCCGTTTTCATTTTTCACAAAGAAAGAAAAGAAAAAGGCAAAGAACCATCAAAGACGGGCGTGTTTTCCATCTTTCTTTATTGCAGTATTCACATCAAACACCACACGGATGCAGCCATACGCTCAGAATGAATACCATGCACCGCCGTCGCTTTCGTCACCGCCGCCGCTAAACCGAGAAAACGGAGATCGCTCATCCCAGACGCCATGCTAGCGCCTGAAAACAAAAGTCCAGAGAGCAAAGAGCAGAGAAAGCAAGAAGCCGGCGCCCCTCCTGCTCTATCAATCAATCAATCAAAGACACGTAGATACAGGGCATTGCCCCCCGACCAAAAAAAGATACACACTAAACACACTCGGGTACAAGCTACCCGCATGCCACGCCCCTTGTGTTCCACGGCGAGACACTTACAGCTTGCCTCCTGATGAGCCAGACTGCTTTCGCCGGAAGAATGCCAGGTACGGCGTGTCATTGCTGTTGCCAAATATCTCTGGTTGCCTTCCGACCTTCGAGATTCGCGAGTCGTTGAGCTTATACCACATGCTCGAGTCAGCCAAAGTCAAGTCGCGCGCGTACGTAAAGTAATGACCCGACGAGATATCGCGGCCCGCGTGGATGATGACGGCGTAGCATTCGTATTCGTACTGGGGTGGGGGATGTTCAGTCCGATCGGTGGGGATACGGTGGTCAGCGGTGTAGGGCTCCATGTTCAGCTTGTTGAGGTTCCAGGTGATATTGCGAGAGACCTTGCCCTCAGCAACGCTGAAGCGGCTGAGGGAGATGCAGAGAAGCTCCGGCAGGCGAGGGTAGTAGACAGCCTTCATGGCGCGTGAGTTGCTCTGGCAGTTGTCGCACCGGTACCCATCCAAGACCTCCTCGTTGCTATTGAGGCTCAGGCACTGCTCGAGGGTCTGCAGCTTGGGGCTGTCAATGTGCAGCATGATTGTGTCAACTGGAGTCCAGGATAGCGTTTTGTTGTTGCACTTGGTGCACGTCACCACTTGAGCCTGGACGCCCCGCCAGTATCGATCAATGATGGATTGATTCGCGACAGAATACTTGTTCCACCACTCCGAGGCGCCCTGTATTAAGGACTTGTCGTTACGCATGTCGGGGCTTTCGTACTTTTCCTGACCCTCCTTGTCGCGCTTGGTATTCGTCTCTTGGTGGAGCGCATCCATGAGCCAGGTCATAAACTCGGAGGCATCTTGCTGGCGAGCGCTGCCAAATTGTTGAACGGAATTGGCGTTGCAAAGCGACAGAGAGTAGTCCTGAAAGAGTTAGCTGCAAATCATTTCCCAAAATTATGTTCTGGGCTTACCATCAATGTCTGTGCCTTCATCACAGGGAAGCTGCCTTCTGCCATCCAGTAGAACAGGTTCGCAATGATGCGGGCCATCAACCGTGGATGGTCACTCTTCTCGTCCGACTTTCGTGGCAACACGTACAATTTATCCCAATCCTTGTTCGCCAGCTCTCCTCCGAACCCAGGCGACAGGCGTAGTGACTGGATCAGACTGTTGGCGTAACACCAGTTGTGGGGGTTATTGAGTCCAGTCATGTGTTGACCAGCGCTCTTTGACTTGCTGACCAAGGCTTGTGTCGTGCTGGCAGAACTGGTGTCGGTAAAGCCGCTGAGTGTTGGCTTTGCGGCGGCTCGCTGGGGCATTTGTGGCATGCTATTGCTTGTGAGAGGCCGAGGAGGTTGTTTGGGCGAGCTCGACACCATGGACTGCTGGCCAGTGCTAGAAAAGTCCCTCAGGAGTTCTCCGGGCGAGCGTATGATGCGAATAGTTTGATCTTCGTTGCCAATTCGCAGATTCCACTCATCAATTTTGCCTTGGGGGATATTTTTGGACCCAGGATATTTCACGCGGCTGGTGGCCGGCCTGACGGATGCCTGCGCCTTCCGAAGAATGAGCGGCATGCTGCCAGTGTCCGACGTCGTCGCTATGTTTTGCCTGCCGAATGTGTCGGTCCACGCATCCAGTCCTCCATCCAGGAGCTTGGACGGGTGAGGTAGCTCTTTACCGATAGAAAGTAGATCCAGCGCACGCTTCAACGTCAACAGGACTCCGTCTTCTTTTTTCGCTACATACTTCGGAAGCTTCGTTGAGTTTTCGTCGTAGAAGACAACGAGATCAAACGTGTCTCGCGCCCGGAAGAGGGCATTATCTTGCTCTGGTGCCAAAACCAAAGCTTCCTCGATGGTGCTACCCGTCACGTCTTCGCGAGTGAGGGTGGATGGCTCGATACACATTATGTGCTGCGATGGTATGTGGCCCTCGTCATAAGCCTCGCGTTGCCGAACGTCTATGAGAAGCACGCGTGCAGTCTTTTGCAAGTTCAGCAGTTCGTCGACGGTGATCTTCTCTGTTTCAGGGATCGTGAATTTTGGCTTGGGCATGGTGTCTTTCCGTTGGGGTGTCTTCGCTTCGGAGGTTCCTCCAGCGGGTATTTTCCCAACAGAAGAGTCTCCTGTGGAAGTGCGGACGGGTCCAAAATAATCATTTGTTCCTGCGTGCCCAGACTTCGCAGATACAGATGGTGGTCCAGTAGTATATAATGAATTGGTGCTTGAAGGCAGGGCAGCAGCGGCATCCTCAAGAGTTTTTCCTGTGGCAGGGTTGAAGATAGCTTGTGGCGGCTTGGGAAGGTCTGTATGATTTATGCCGGGTTGGAAAAACGATGGATGATCCGTCGTGATAGCGTGTGGGTGGGTTTTGATTCGAGGATCCTGTCCAGAGAAAGCACGAGGGCCTCCTAGGTTCTTGAACCGTGCCTGAAGATCGCTGACGTTCTTTGCTGTGGGACGGCCCTGCAGTGATAGAGGCTTGGGCTGGATGACAGGTTTCGGCTTTCCATTCGTATCAGTCGGCACTGATCCTGGCCCTCCCCACTCCTTTCGATTGTCGGGTTGCGCAGGGCGCGACAGGGGCCGCACACCACTCCGTTTGTTATCCTCGATAATGGCAGCCTTGATCTTCTCGAATGTAGGGTGCTGCTCGTTGATCTTGCTTAGAAGGTTGTTGTACATGCGCTTGAGCTCCGGGCGACCAGCCTGAACCGATACGTATTCGGGATGTGTTGGTATCAGACGAACGGTGATGGTGGCGGCCTGGATGAACTCGCGGAGAGCTTCAGCAGGGCGACCGAAATCGCGAAGTGCCTCGGCGGACCTGAGAGCGCCATCGGTTCTTTCGAGAATCTTGCGCAGAGGTAGCTGCATGTCCATGTCGACTGGCCGCGAAGTCAAGTCATCGATGTGCGGCAACGGCGTTCCACGGTGGCTAGCACCCATTCCTCCGTTGCTACCCATGGCGGAGGGCTGCAGAGCGGCGGAGGTGATCGAAGAGGTAGCGAAACTCATATCAGCCGAGGAGATCTTCAAGCAAAATGCAGAGCACCCAGAACATGTCGTGATCGTTAAAGGACGTAAATCGGAGGGGGACAAGTCGCAGCCGCAGGTTTGTTATGTCGGTCAAGTCGGGGTTTAAGTTGAGATGCAAAGCGCTCAAGTCGCAAAAGATCACGCTGTAATCGTACGCATTCTTCGGAACAAAGGCGTGGTAGAATCGTGGGAGGTTGCGCCTTTGTTCGCGATGGCTTGGCCAGCCTACAAGTGGTGGTGTTGTCAAAGGAAAGCTGCCCGAGGCAGTGGCAGGCCTGCCACCCTCAATCTGGGTCGACAGGGGGGGCAAGGGGGGGGGGGTCCCACAATGGAGAAGTGGAGGGGCGAGCGGTACATCTACAGAGGTGCCAAGGTGACATATTCATGCCTCTAGGTGAAGCGGCGCCCTGGAGCCTTGCTCCCTGCACTGATGGACAGGGCCTAGAGCCTGCCAGCAAGCCTGGAGACAGGCGGGGAGCAGGCGCCCGGCGGGGCACACCATGTGAATTATGGAAGTCGAAGCACCAGAAGGTGACGCAGCCTGCGCCACAGCGAGGTCCCCGCTAGCTCCAAAGGTACTGTATCATGTTGCCTGGTCGTCAAGTGACCTGGGTTAGGTGGCAGGCAACGGGCAGCTCAGGAGGGGCGGTCGCCGCAGCACGTCGTCATCGCCTCGGGCCAACCACCACCGGAGGCTGGAAGCTGGCGGCGCCAGCCAATGAGCAACTTAGTCAGCTGAAGTACGGCGCAGAGCCAAGCTGCGGCTTTGAGCATCGCGAGCATCAGGCAGACTCCAAACGCCGAGCTTGACATCTGCATCTCCCAAATTAGGCAAACAAATTTCGTTCACCGTCGACGCCATCGCCATCGCCTTACAGTCCGTGGGATACGTCGATCGCCTACTCGCACGCCGCACAGTCTGCAGCTTCATCCCTTGATCACCCCCGCCTCTAGACGACGACGCTGCTCCGACGACCATGATGGGTTGGTGGTCCTCATCCGCCAACACGGCTCTAGACGAGCAGATCGAAAAGGCCACCAGCAGCAGCCTGTATGTTCCTCTCTTAACATGCACGCTCTTTCCTGTGTTTCTAACACTTGTTTCCGCAGCGAAGACATTGCCCTGAATCTCGAGATCTCCGATGTCATCAGATCCAAGACTGTTCAGCCAAAGGAGGCTATGCGCTCTTTGAAGAAGCGCATAGGCAACCGCAACCCGAATACACAGCTGAGTGCACTCAACGCACGTTTGATCCGAGGTTCTCCGACCGAATCACCAGGCTAACAAGACTGAACAGCTAACTGATACCTGTGTCAAGAATGGAGGCACCCACTTCCTTGCCGAAATCGCCTCAAGAGAGTTTATGGACAACCTGGTGTCACTTCTCCAAGCTGTGGGGGCGGTGGCTGTAAACGCTGAGGTCAAAGCCAAAATCCTCGAGCTTGTGCAATCGTGGGCAGCCGCTACAGAAGGACGGCATGACCTGGGATACATCGGTGAAGTCTACAAAACTTTGCAACGCGAAGGTCACCAATTCCCTCCCAAGATCAGTGTCTCCAGCAGCATGATTGACAGCAGCGCCGTAAGCCGGTTTTCTTCGATGATCGCGTAAGGGACCTTTGCTAACTTAGGTGCAGCCCCCCGAATGGATAGACTCCGACGTCTGCATGCGATGCCGAACTGCCTTCACCTTCACAAACCGGAAACATCACTGCCGAAACTGCGGAAACTGCTTCGACCAGCAATGCTCGAGCAAGTCCATACCACTTCCACACCTCGGCATCCTCCAAGCAGTCCGTGTGGACGATGGCTGCTTTGCGAAGCTTTCTGATAGGGGCGGCCGCGGAAGCCAGGCAGGCGCGTCGCAAGATAGGACGCCGACTTATCCGCACAAGACACGGAGTACCTCCGCCATGCAGCCACGGAGCGCTCGAGCCGACGAGGGTTTCGACGAGGATCTTAAGAAGGCGTTGGCTATGAGTTTGGAAGAGGTCAAGGGCCACTCCAAGGGATATGTTGAGCCGAAAGTCAACGCCCCGACAGACGCAAACGCCGGTGGCAAATCCGCCGCCGCCAGACAGGCTGAGGATGACGATGATGACCTCAAAGCTGCCATAGCTGCATCGCTGGCAGATATGGAGGAACAAAAGCAGCGACATGCGGCCGCGTTCAAGGAACAGACGTTCACAGCGCCGTCTGCTGCGACATCCACTTTCGCACTTCCGAAGAACGATTACGAGTTGACTCCGGTCGAAGCCGAAAACATCAACCTATTCGCAACGCTTGTCGACAGGCTTCAGACGCAACCCCCCGGCACAATTTTGAGAGAGCCGCAGATTCAGGAGCTGTATGACAGCATTGGTGCCCTGAGGCCGAAGCTTGCGCGGACATATGGAGAGACTATGAGCAAACACGGTCAGTTCACCTCTGATCGTAGTCGTAAGACTTTCAAACTAACCAGGCATGCAGATACACTGTTGGACCTCCACGCCAAGCTATCCACCGTGGTGCGATATTACGACAGGATGCTGGAGGAGCGCCTATCCAAGGCATATCACCAACACACCATTGGAGGCTACAACATGCCGCCACCCCGCCAAACTTCCTACCCATCTATCCAGGGCGGCGTTCCAGGCGCGGCCGAGAACTTCTACACTGGCGAGCAGCGACAGGACTATGGACAAGCGCCGCAAATGTACCCACCACACCCCCAGCAAACCCCCCAGCCGCAGTATGCATCTTACAACCATACGGGCGCTGTTTCAGGTCCTCCTACAGGACAATATCCTCATCAGGGAGTCCAGCGAACCGATAGTTGGAGGAGCGGGACAGGGCCTCCTGAAGGTCAGTATCCTCCATCAGGATACCCAGCCGAAGCTCCACCTGCGCCAACAAATATGCACCATGCTCATGGCCAACCTGCCGAGACGCCTTCCGCCGACCCGAACACCACGGCAGCATCATATTATTATAACCCTCAACAACCTAGTGCCCCACCATCAGCACTGCCCAGCGTCGACCCTAATGCGTCTCCCTACCCTAACCTCCAACAGCAACAACACTACCATCAACCTCCCGGACCGCAACAGACGCCTGACCCGGGCAGCGCGCCTGCAGGCCAGCCTAACCAGCACCAAGCTCCACCTTCGCAACAGAACTACTGGCAGCCTTCAGTACCACAGCAATCCTCGCAGCAGCAGCAACCATGGAATGGCCAGCAGCAGCAGCAGCAATATCCCGGGTATCCGCAGGAGTCGGCACCATCGGCCTCGCAGGCTGCCCCGAAACAGCCAGCCGTGGAAGAAAGCCTGATTGAGCTGTGAAGAAGCAGCAAGGAGAAGAGGCGCCGGTAAGGGACATCTGAGTGAGGATTGCGCATCGAGTGTGAAGATGCTGTGATGTTCGTGATGTGGAGGAGCAGGCCCTGCTAGTTAGTTGAGATCAAAACTGTAGTGCAGGCTACTTAAATAATCGCATCATCCGTATGAAGTTTAAGCGTGATTTGTTTGTGAACTTGTAGATGTTGTGACGTAGCTGGGCGTGGGTGTGTCCAGCTGGTGTTTCTGGGAAGTGCAAAAGGGATAGTCTGCTCGCAACCAAAGTCGCGCTCGGTTTGCTTGATGTGCTTTTTGATTTCTCATTGTCTCAAGGAGGGGGGGGGGGGCCTGTGAAACAATGAGATTCTGGCAATTCACGTCGGCAGCCGTTTCTTGCGTGTCGGGCGGGCTTCGCACATAGAACCCAGTACAAAGTTGAGCCATCAGGGGTCTCGTTGACCCAGAGGGACATCAGCTGCAGCTTCCGCCCGCCAACCTCGAGTTTCTTATCGGAGTTATGTGTACTTCGTGCCTTATAGGGACTGTAGCGGCGGGCCTGAATAGGTCGTTGCGTAGCTGCTGCCCTCCTTCTTTACCATTCGCCTCTTGGGGACTCGACAGCTCCGTGTCACAACGAACATGAGAAGTGATTGTTGAACATCACTAGTCTCAAAGAAACATCAATTTAAAGTCACCAATCTGCAACCTAAAAGAGCGACTCGGTCTGCACATTCAGATCTCATGCTCGTCACACTGCGCCGCATCACATATATCTTCAACATGGCGCCGATCCCGACCCCAGCCGGCTTTGCCCAGGGCTTTCTCTCCAACCCCGTGCGCTCCCTGTGGAAATGCGAGATTGAAGCCCTTTTCGCCGCCGTGACGATCAACCCCAAAGCGCCAATGTCCTCCACCGTCTACGCATACTGCGTACTGACGGTCCAAGCACTCCTCGAACGCGGGGACGCCGCCGTCGACGATGCCTTTGAGGAACTCGCCACAGCCCGGGCGTATATCGGCCTGTACAAGAGACGCCAGAAATGGCGCCGGGGGGGCTACGAAGCCGGCGTGGATTACGATGCCGTGGTGCGGGTCTTTGGTCCCCATGCGACTGCGAAGGCTCCTTCCGTTCAGCATATATTCGAGTGCCGTCGACATGCGCACGTCATTGCTGCTGGATTTGCGTCGGCACGGGCTGGCCCTGTTATTCTCGAATCTCACGACGAATGTCCTATGCCTTGGGCCAACGGCTTTGCGTGCTTCAAACGCAAGAATTTGGATCGGTACCGTGACAACTCTGATGGTCGTTACGACGGCGCGGCGCGGGCTGCAAAGAGGATCCGCGTTGAATCGGCACGGAATGGCCTCGCGGGCTGGAGTACCATGGCCCAAACAGGCGCTGCCCAGTTTCATCTGGAGATGGCATACGACAACTTTGGTTGTGGCTTTCAGGGAGACCCCCAGCTTACGCTTGCGAGCCTTACAGAGGCGGGCATGGGTACCCATGACGAGCGAGAGAAAGGGGTTAAACTGGCAGAGGCAGCAGGAAAGGAGAGGAGGTTGGAGGATGAATGCGAGTTGGCACTGTTGACGGGGGACGAGAAAGATTTCGATCCGGAGCAACTTGAAGAGGAAGTGAATTTCTGGAGGGATTTCTAGAGACATGGTGGCTGTTAGTGGTACGCTGCTTTGGGATGGGAAGTTTGGATGGGCGCGTCTCTCCTAAGGGTTGTTTTTGCTGGCTTGCGAAACCCAGTTGTCATTCATTGCAATATCCAAAGGCAACAGCACATGGCAACAGATCGTCGAGATCGAGACACCTTGGCATCTTTGAGGTCTTCTTCTTCACGATCAAGATGTGCAAGTGCAATCCAAGGCAGGCAGTCTGGGCGTGGGCCAATGACGGACAGCAAAGCCGCCACGCACCCTGACTGGCGGCGCCCCCACGGCAGCCAGAGGGCGCGGACGGCAAGTGCTGCTGCGACACCGAGCGAGAGGATACCGATCACCGGCAAGTCGGCCTTTTCGGACCCAGAGTACGAGCCAAGTGGAGCTCCGGTCCGGACGTGATTTGAGTCATCCACTGGAGGAGGGAAAGGGGCGCTGGCAGGACCTTGGAACCTTGTGGAGCGGCTTGGAGCTGCTTCGAGGCGGTACCTGACGTCGTTGTAGTCATCGTCACCGTTACTTCGTTGGCCTGCATTTATTTGTCTTGGACAGGAGGTGCAGATCTCCCAGATTTTTATCGTCACACGTACTCACAGATTTTCTTCGACGAACACCCGTCTGCCAGGCCACTGAATCTCTTCACACACTTATCCTCACTGCTGTCACCACTCGCCTCACTCGCCAACCACATTCGACATGCCTGTCACGATCCACCTCGTCCGCCACGCCCAGGGCTTCCACAACCTCTCTGTCGAGAACGAAGCCCTGCCAGACCCCCTCCTCACAGACCTCGGCCTCAAGCAGTGCGCCAACGTCCGCGCGACCTTTCCTGCCCACGCCTCCCTCACCCACCTCGTCGCCTCGCCCATGCGCCGCACCCTCCACACCTGCCTCAACTGCTTCGGCCCCACCCCCGAGGACCCCCAGCCGGCGGCCCTGCTCCCGGTCATCGCCATCCCCGAGCTGCAGGAGGTCAGCAACTCGCCCTGCGACACAGGCACCGACGTCGCCGTCGTAGCGCCCGAGTTTGGCGCCAGGGCCGACTTCTCGCGCGTCCCCGCCGGCTGGAACGACAAGGAGAGCGCCGCCTCGCCGTGGGAGCCCACCCTCGACAAGCTCGAGGCGCGCGCGACCAAGGCGCGCCTCTTCCTGCGGGACCTGGCGCGCGCGAGCGGCAAGGAGGACGTTCACATTGCTGCCGTGTCGCACGGCGCGTTCCTGCATTTCCTGACCACGGACTTTCACGGCGTTGAGGTGCCGAGAGGTATGGGTTGCTTGTCTCTGTTCTGGCGTTGGTGTTTTTTTTTTCTGTTTTTCTTTCTGTTTTTCTTTCTGTTTTTCTTTCTGTTTTTCTTTCTGTTTTTCCCTCTGTTTTTCCCCCTCCCTCTATCTTTCTGTGGCTCTCTTCCCAGACTTTTCTTTTCCACTTGCGTTTCAACTCGAGAATCATCGCTGACTCCTTTCGTAGCTACGGCGTGGGAAAACTGCGAGTTCCGCTCGTACCAGTTTGTGGACCCCGCGGGCGAGGACCCTGCTGCACTGCTCCGCGAGACGGACGAGAGCTGGACCAGGAGGAGCGAGGAGGCCAGGCCCACGGGCGAGCAGCTCGAGGAGCTGAAGCAGACATTCTACCGCGAATTCGGGCCCCTCCTGAAACACCAATACTAGGTCTTTCGTGCTTTCGGTATGATGAGTTGAATGACGGGACGATACTGCGCTCGAGAGAACGTTGGGGTCAGAAGAGGAGGGATTTTACGCTCTGGGATAGACGAAGATACATTAGACGCCCTAGATAACATCAAGATCGGTTTCACGTGTTCCTCGCATTATACCTCTGCATCACACTCGCAAGCTCGGACCCTAGGGACTTCCCGTAATGGCACACGGACCGAACATCAATCCATACAACGTTCGTTCATCTTCATCATGTCATGTTGTCATGTGCATTGATGTGCAGGAGTCTATCCCGGCCTCAGACCGAGCTTCTATCGGCATAATACAAAGGTTGGTATAATCCCGTGCACCCCGTCCGCTCGAAACAAACCAGCCGCCTTTTTTGATTTAGAAGTCCTCCTCGCCAGACCCAGACACAATGACGTTGTTGACCTTGAGCACCATGCGGCACAGCTGTGTCGCCAGCTGGAGCTGCTGCTTCTTGCCGATCAGGGGGTCGATGACGAAGGCGTCCTTCATGTTGTTGTTGCCGCGACCCATGCAGTCAACACCGAGCTTGCCGCGGTCGCTGGGGCCGGCCTTGGCCTGCTGGCTCTTGATCTCGGCCAGCGTCGAGATGGGGTTGAGGCCAGAGTTCTGCGCCAGCGCCATCGGCACGGCGTCGAGGGCCTCGGAGAAGGCGCGCATGGCGTACTGTTCCAGACCGGGCGTCTTGACCGCCGCGTCCTCGACCGCCAACGAGCAGGCAATCTCGGCCGCGCCGCCGCCGTAGACGACGCGGTTGTCGCGCACCAGGTTGCGGACGACGCAGAGAGCGTCGTGTAGTGACCGCTTGGCCTCGTCGATGATCTGTTGCCGTTAGTCTCTGCCTGCCTGTCCTGTTCTCTGCTCCGCGTTCCCAACGTACCATCTTGTTGCTGCCCCTGACAAAGACCGTCACCGCTCGTGTGTTGGCGCACTCCTCAATGACGAGCATCTTTTCCCTCGTCGTGCCGAACGACATTTCTCTGACAATGCCGGCACGTCCCAGCTTCTCCGCCTTCAGGTCCTCGAATCGCGGCACTATCCGGCCGTTCGTCGCAATCGCCACCAGCTCAATCTCGGGTCCGCCGACCCACCGCACGGCGGGCAGCTTGTTCTGGAGCAGGAGATGGTTCGCCTCGTCGTCAAAGCCCCACTGGCAGATGGCCAGGTTGGCGCCCGTGTCCTTGATCTGCTGGATCATCTCGATGAACTTCTCGCGCTCGTAGTTTTGCAGCTTCTTGAACTCCTCGACGGACGTAATGTCGAGCTTGTGCTTGGTCTTGGGCTTGGGCGGCTCAAAGGCGCAGGTCAGGATGGCGATCTTGGCGTCCTTGACCTCGGAAGGCATCTGGGGGTGGGAGAAATCCTTGTCGATGATGACGCCCTTGACGAGGACAGAGTCCTCGAGCGCGCCGCCGACCTTGCCGTCGACCTTGATCAGCTCAAAGTCGACGTCCTTGCGCTCGAGATCCGCAACGGACAGCACGGCGTCGACGGCAATGTTGGCAAACTGGTCGTGCGACTTGGACACAATCTTGCTGCCCAGACTTGTGCGCGCCACCTTGACCAGGTTCTCTGTGTCCTCTTTGCTGAACTCGATCGTGTCGGAAATGTTGTCGAGCTCGGCGACGGCAATGTCG